ACAGACACAGACACACACACACTCACAGACACACGCACAGACACAGACACACACACACACACACACACACAGACACACGCACAGACACAGACACACACACACAGCAGATACAGCTCTTCAATAACTCATCACAATAAACATGCGGGGAAATATTTGTAATCATCAAAAAATTCAAAAAACAACAACAAAGTAATATGTTTCCCACAAAACTATTGTGCGGCACAACTGTGTTCAACATTGATAATAATCAGAAATGTTTGTCGAGCAGCAGATCAGCATATTATACTGATTTCTGAAGATCATGTGACACTGAAGACTGGAGTAATGATGCTGAAAATACAGCTGCACATCACAGAAATACATTACAGCTTAACAGAGATTCACAGAGAAAACAGATGTGCTACATTATAATAATATTTCACTGTTTTTACTGTATTTTTGATCAAATAAATGCAGTATATGATTTTTAAAAAAATTCCTAATGAAGGTCTCTACCCGTTTTCTGTAGGGAATAGTGTCAGAGTGACTCCTGACCTTCATCAGTAGCCTCACCCAGCATCATCATCATCAGGAGCAGCTCAGTCCAGACGACAAAACCGAAACGCGTTTCTGCTGCAGTGTGTCCCTGGCGGGCCGCCGTCGCGATGGGCGAGAGCATGTCGAAGCGGCTGAAGCTAGTCACCGGCTCCGAGGCAGAGATGGAGGAGCGCGGCTTCAGCAACCCGTTCCCGGACTGGGATCAGAGCCTGTCCGGGTCCTCAGACCCAGCAGAACACAGCGGAGGAAACCAGCCGCTTGACGCCGACGGAAAGGTTCGTGATCTCGCGTTATGTGAGCGTTTATCGCGTGTTTGTAGCATGCTAACGCTAGCTCCTCTGTTTACAAACACGCTGTTGTTCATCAGCAGATGTCTGATTCTCAGCATGTGTACAGTACTCGTATGTTTAATTCTCACTTAGTGAAATGATCCGAAAACAGCTTTCACAGACTCGTGAGTCCATTTCATTTAGTAAGACGTGCATCATTTTGTTCTTTCTTCCCTCTGAAAGTCATAGCTTGGTCAGAGCAACATTGTAGCACTTTGCCCAAGACTAATTTCCTTTCGGGGACAAATAAAGATGATCCTATCCTAGCACCCTAGCAACACCCTGACAACCACCCACAACACCCTAGCAACACCCTGACAACTCCCACAATACCCTGACAACCACCCACAACACACTGACAACTCCCACAATACCCTAGCGAAGTCATAGCTTGGTCAGAGCAACATTGTAGCACTTTGCCCAAGACTAATTTCCTTTCGGGGACAAATAAAGATGATCCTATCCTAGCACCCTAGCAACCCCCTGACAACCACCCACAACACCCTAGCAACACCCTGACAACTCCCACAACACCCTGACATCTCCCACAACACCCTGACATCTCCCACAACACCCTGACAACCTCCCACAATACCCTGACAACCACCCACAACACACTGACAACCACCCACAATACCCTAGCAACACACTGACAACTCCCACAACACCCTAGCAACTCCCACAATACCCTAGCAACACCCTGACAACCCCCGCAACCCCCTGACAACCCCCCGCAACCCCCTGACAACCCCCCGCAACCCCCTGACAACCCCCCGCAACCCCCTGACAACCCCCCGCAACCCCCTGACAACCCCCCGCAACCCCCTGACAACCCCCCGCAACCCCCTGACAACCCCCCGCAACCCCCTGACAACCCCCCGCAACCCCCTGACAACCCCCCGCAACCCCCTGACAACCCCCCGCAACCCCCTGACAACCCCCCGCAACCCCCTGACAACCCCCCGCAACCCCCTGACAACCCCCCGCAACCCCCTGACAACCCCCCGCAACCCCCTGACAACCCCCCGCAACCCCCTGACAACCCCCCGCAACCCCCTGACAACCCCCCGCAACCCCCTGACAACCCCCCGCAACCCCCTGACAACCCCCCGCAACCCCCTGACAACCCCCCGCAACCCCCTGACAACCCCCCGCAACCCCCTGACAACCCCCCGCAACCCCCTGACAACCCCCCGCAACCCCCTGACAACCCCCCGCAACCCCCTGACAACCCCCCGCAACCCCCTGACAACCCCCCGCAACCCCCTGACAACCACCCACAACACCCTAGCTACTCCCACAACACCCTAGCAACACCCTGACAACCACTGACAACTCCCACAACACTCTAGCAACACCCTGACAACCACTCACAACACCCTAGCAACACACTGGTGACGTTTGCATAGGCGAACATTTGCTTTTATGTGTGTTTATGATTAATAGAGGCTTTTTTCAGCCACCGAATAAAAAAAAAAAAGGTAAATGTCACACTTTATCGCACGATTTTAACAATTTTTTCACACAATTCTCAGAATTGCAAGATATAAACTCAAAATTCAAAGAAAAACAACTGATTTGTGATATGTAAACTCAGAATTGCTAGATATAAACTCAAAATTGCAAGAAAAAAAAGTTAAATTTCTGTTTAGTTCTTGCAGTTCTGAGGAAAACAATCTGAATTGTAATATTCTATTCCATGGCAGAAACAGGCTTCCATAAAGATTTGACTCAAACTGCAGTGTCTCAAAATGTGCAGCACAATAATTTTTTTTGTGTGCATCTCTAATTTTGATCAAAAGCTGTGGTTGCTATGGTTATTAGGACATTCACTGTGAAAGTACCACACTATACTTTGAGCTGCACTGGAGAGCTTTAGTGCATGAATATGGCAATCATTCAGCACATGCAGTGTATCAGGTTATCAGACGGACACACCTATACTACCAGAGTATTTTTGTTAAGGTTATAGCTAATAATCTGTACTGTAGCAGTTGTAATTGTTCTCTGAGGAGTCCTTTAGATATCAGACACCATCTCTGTATGGACCTCTCTGATTTCTGAGATCGGGAGGTTTGTGCTGATTCTCTCAGTATTCCCAGCAGTGGCCTCAGCTGTCAGTCACTCCTGTGCTGTGGAGCTCTGCAGGAATACACCTTCATTATTGGATTCGGTTCAGGCAGCAGCAGGGCTCCATGCTCAGCAAAGTCAACGCGTCAGAATTTCTCCATTGCAGTACTCCTGATTATTTTCAAGAGTATTGATTATTTTTGTTGAATTAGAACCAGGACATCTTAACAGGTGCATTGCAACAAACTAGAAACCACACAGAACACTTTAGCAACCCTGAAGCAACATCCTGACAACCACCCACAACACCCGAGCATCATGCTGGCAGATTTTGCATCACATATTCTCAGGACAATTCTAGTATAAACTGTGAAAGTAACATAATTTGGACTTTTTTCCAGTGTTTACCTACATTGACTGCGTTTGCTCAATCTGTCAGCCCTGGGAAATATACATTACAAACCAATATTTTGTTCAAAAGTAGCAGGTCAGTATCACTGAAATACTATTTTTTATATATATATATATATTTTTTTTTTACTCTCACACACACGCACGCACGTTTTTTTTTATTATTATTAGTTTTTAGTTATCTATGTCTGTTTTTTTTATTATTAATTTTTATTTCAGTTTTTGGTACATAAAGATAAACTACATTAAAATGAGATTTAAAAAAAATATTTTAGTTAATGTTTATTTGATTTCAAAAACTATTTTTGATTTTTTTTACGGTTTTAATTTTAATTTTAGAAAACTAAAATTACACTGGTCCCCACTGACCTGATGCCTTACTTTAGGCTAAATTTGCAGCCCTGTTTTCCATTCTGCCATAATTCTTATTCACCTTTTTATTTTTTTAAAATTAAAAATATAATCTAAATATATATATTTTTCTTTATTTTTTTTATGATTTTCTTTTTATGAATTATTTATGATTTAAATAATTAGTAAATTATATAACATGTTTACTTGCATTACATGTGAAATGACACACATCATGGTTTTAAACTCTATTTTCCAAATGTCCCCAATTTAATTTTAAGCCGGTTCTTATATAAATGACTATAGATCATCATCATCTGACTTCAGCATTTTATTATCATCTTTTTGCAGTGTAGGCAAAATACAGATGTGAGCTTGAAATATCTGCCCCTAGTAGATTATTTTACCCACAATTACTCCTTACTGCTTATTTTAAGATTGTGTCTTTGTCAGGGTTGCTTGTGATAGGTGAGGTTTGCTCCTCGTTAGGATTCGCCTCACAGACTCACTGCTGCAGGAGAAAAACACAACTCTGGATTCGATCCACCTTCACTCTACCGTGCCCAAGGTTCCTGAGCTGTTGAACTCAGACCTTCAGAAATAGCAATAGACATTATGCATTTCCCCCTGTGGCAGTAAACAGTCTGAATAAAAAGGAACTTTTTTCCTTCTGTTCAAATGTGCTCTTAGTATCAGGCTGAACACCAGGATCCCGGGGTGCCACATTGCTCTTTGTACCATTGTCAGCAAATCACAGGTGACAGTTGATTCGGTATACGATTAGCTAGTCTCTCTGCGACTTTGTCAAACGATCAGTGGTTCTCTGAGTAGTTCCTGAAGGCTGAACTGAGATGTTGCAGTGCAGGGCCAAGAAGTCACTGAAGTACAGTTCACTTTTAAAGGTTAGAAGTGTGTCTGTGATGCAGTAGGTATGCATATGCATATCTTTTTAAATCAAATCAATGTTGATATTAGATTGGATATGCATATATTTAGAATGTTATAATGGAGATTCCGCAGGGCTCTGTATTTGGTCCGCAACATTTTTGAACACAGTGCTGTACGCTATTCAGTGCCAGTGTCTCTTTGTGTGAATTCATTAATAAAACAACTATTTGTCAAACTAAGCTTTTTAAGCTTACTTACAAACTCTTTTTTTCCCCTTCCCTGAGAATAGATCAGCGATGCCTTTCAGAAGAAGGTGCAAAGCAAGATCACAGATCTTCTCCAACAGATGGAGGAGGGCCTGAAGACTGCAGATCCACATGATTGTTCCACCTACACGGGCTGGACAGGTGAATACCAAACAGTTAATATGATGAACTTCGTGGACTTTATTTGCAGCTTTTGCAGAATAGAATTTAAATCAGTGTGCTATTATTTTTTTGTATGTAAAATGTCACAGCATGCAATGCTGTTGCTGCCTGGTTTTCCCCTGTTAAAAATGAACATTCCTTTGAATTCTTAAAGAAAGTAATGTAATTTGGACCATACAGCATATAAGGACGATAAGAAAACATTTTTTTAAATGCTCAAATTTGAGTGTTCACTGCATTTCTCAAGCTCTCATCTATTAAACCCTGGGAAATATGTTATAATTCACTACAAACCAACATTCTGTGTGTGTGTGTGTGTATATATAAATATATTAAGTGTGTGTGTACTGTGTATATTTATTACATATATATAAATACACACACATACAGCATTTATTTTGAAAATATTTACATGTATATATATATTCATATAATTTATATAATATTTAAATATTTAATATATAAACAACATATTTTTCTTAAATATATACATGCATGCATGTGAATTTATATATATGTAATAAATATACACCGTACTCACACATATATTATGTAAACAAAAACTTTTATTTTGGATGCGATTAATTGTTTGACAGCCCTAATACACACACACACACACACACACACACACACACACACACACACACACACACACACACACACGTTAATTGATAGAAAATTGGGGTTTATTTTATTTGTATTTAGGCACTTTAAAATAAAACATTTCCAAATATGCCAAGAAAATTGCTAATCCAATATAAAATAAATGTAAAATAATAAATAGTAAAGTTGAATTTGTTGCATGTGTTGAATATGCTGTACAGTAGTAGAGTCGCAATGCATTGTAAGCTGAATGTCCTCGGCAGGCATAGCCCTGCTGTACCTGCAGCTGTATCGAGGGACGCAGGAGGCCCCGCATCTGCAGCGGGCTCTGGATTACGTCAAACGCGCGCTGAGGAACCTGAACGGACGGCGCGTCAGCTTCTTGTGCGGAGACGCCGGGCCTCTAGCTGTAGGCGCAGTCGTTCACCACCACTTAAAGAACCAGACCGAGTCCCAGGAGTGCCTCACGAAGTAAAGAGCATTTCTAACTCTCCGTTTGTCTCTTTGGCTTTCTCTGCTTGCTTCCACTGCCTGTTCTCTGGAAGTGTGTTTGGGAAAGATAGCTGTGGTTTTGCAAAAAAACGTAGTGCACAAAACTTAAATGAAACCAATGGTTGGAAAATGCACTATTACAGTCAGGGGGCATGATTCAATGTGTTAATTTTAATTTGTTATTTATAGGGCTGTCGATTTAGCATGTTAATTTGGTGAGATTACTTATTGATTGAATGCAGAGTCTGATGATCCTGATGCAGGACGACTGACTGCGTGATAAAGTCTGTTAGAATGCGGTTATATAAACCTAAAATTCAAGATATGAGTACAAAAAAAATCACACTCTTATATTTCTATTATATGATATAGTTGAGCAATATCACACCAGCTAGAGTACTGTTTCTCCCCAATATCTGCACCGTTGATAATGTGAAACAGCCCTAGGTATTTACAAAAATAAAAATAAACCCTATTATGGGTTATGAAAGGTTCATATTTTGGTTTTGGGAGTCCCCAACAACAGGTCGACATGCATGCAAGCTTCAAGTTTTCCCAGGGTCTGCGGGACTCGTTTAAGTGATTCAGAGTCGACTCTTTCTTTTGAGAGACAATAACTTTATACACGGTGCACTTTCAGATTTAAAGATTCACTTAGAGCTGTGTTGCACACTGCATGAAAGGTCAAAAATCCATAATAGGGGCACTTTAATTAATGCATTAAACTGACAGCTGTAAAAATCAGTGTCTCATTTGATCAAATTGATCTACATTTGATTTGCTGTCAGTAAATTGTATTATATTAGCCACTATTATTTCTAGAAATTGGCATCGGCCACTGAGGAACCCGAAGGCACTAGTTTGTCGTGCGCTGGTGAGGAGAACAGACTCTGATTTGATTGAAGAGCTGGAGCTGCGCTCTGGTCCTCTGAGGCGTTTCTGTGTGTGTTGTAGTGAGACGCTCTGGCTCTCAGGCGTGTGTGTTATGTGTGTTGCTCTCTGAACTCATTCGTCTGATAGATCGCCCGCAGCTCTCGGCGGGAGTCTGATTATAAACCCTCGTCCAGCTCTGCCCTTACTGTGCTCTCGACTCATTGTGCTGTTCAAACACAAGATTGAGTTGAAAAGAAAAAGGAAAACAAAAGGAGAAATGCTACATTATATTAAACTGATTTGTGTGTATTTTTAATGTCTAGAATAGATTAAACCAGATCATTTGGGGTCCAGTAATATTTTTGTTTTAAATAAATGTATACATTTATTGATCAAGGATGCATTAAATCGATCAAAAGTGACGGTAAAGACATTTATAAAGTCACAAAATATTTCTATTTCAAATAAATGCTGTTCTTCTGAACTTTCTGTTCATCTGTGAATCCTGAAAAATAAAATGTATTACGGTTTCCACAAAAATATTGTGCAGCACGACTGTTTTCAACATTGATAATAATCAGAAATGTTTCTCGAGCAGCATGGTTTATTTAATCAGGATTACATTACATTATCATTGACTCAAATCATCTGACCATTTCATACTTCATATACATTAAAGTACATATTAAGCTTTTGAAAAACAAATAAAATTAAATGAATACAATCTGAAAAAGACTAAATAAAATGAATACATATTCTTCTTTTTTAAGTCTTGTGTCTGAAAATGTATGATGCAGACACTGTCTGAAATTTATGAAAATATTCCTAAAAAATCTAATCTAGATATTTGAGATAATTTCCATTATTTGTAAGGTCCTATTGTAGCAACATCTGTAAACTGTTGATGCACAAAGTGTTTGGCAAGCTTTTTTTCAGTATTGTACAAAGCGATTATAATGCTTGGTTCCTCTGGCGTTCAGATTGCTCCAGCTCCAGCGCTCAGTGCTCAGTCCAGACTCTGACGTTCCTGATGAGCTGCTGTACGGTCGAGCCGGATACCTCTTCGCTCTGCTGTATGTGAACGCAGAGATCGCGCCGGACGCGGTGGACGACGACACCATCATCAAGGTCAATGTCAACGTCTGTCTGTATTCATACATGCACGTGAAGTAGGGGTGTGCAATCTAATAATGTCAGAATTGTTGTTTTAAAGATATGCGGTTTTGACATTATCGAGTATTTTGCAAAAACCATTCAGATCACCCCTACAGAGCGCACGCTCGCATTACGTGAAGTCTAGACTGGTGCGCGGGCGTTCTTTCACTGCATGATTCAGTATTAAAATGCATTTAGAACAATCGCAAATTCAGGACGACATGGCAGAAAAAGTATTTATTTATACCACTTCATATAGTTAATCAATTTCATACGAAGAGTGCCGTTTTTCTCCAAAAATCGGCATGATTACAAATGTGATATTGATTTTTTACAACAGTTCAATAAACAAGAACTTAGCTAATTAAGAGACTTATGTTTTAGGCACCATATTTCCTGTTTTTGCTCTATTTCGACAACAAAAATAATTCCAAACACAGCGCTGTTCTGCGTCTCTGAGCAACATGATAGTGTTTCGTTCCTGAATGAATCAAGCGTTTAAATGATTCGGTTCAGTCACAATGACTCACTTATTAACAGTGACTCGCTGCCACCTGCTGGCGGTTTTAATTTCACATTTAAAGTAGCTTTTATTATTTAAATAATTTCAAATATCAACATTCAACATTTTGTTTAATATATCAAAACATTATTTATGCATTTGTAACTTTCATTTGCTTTGTAACAGCCCAGATGTCGTCTTATTCTAATTCACTGATTAAATGTAACAATTTGACACAAACGATGACGGACACTTTAAGAAGAAATGGCTTTATAAAGGTAACAATGCCCATAAAATGTAAAAATCAGTTTAAACTTGTTGGAAAAGATTAATTTCTATCAGTGTGAACTGACCAGCACACAGAATATGAAGAATATTAAAAACATTAGGAGTCAGCTGTCGTTGGTAGTCCTTAAGATACCAGCACAATAACACGCTCAGCAAAATATCATCTAATTATTGTTATGGATAAAATCCCAGAAAATATTTTTTGTTAATATCCCTAACATAAAGTATAATAACCAGTAAAACTTGCATTGATAAAAATACATTACAAATGCATCCATCGATAAAACTGCTGGTGTTCCTCTGTTTACTCACATCTCTGGAGTGTGTGTGTGTGTGTGTGTGTGTGTGTGTGTGTGTGTCTGCAGCAGATGCATTCATCCTCGTTACTGTACGTCATGCATTATAGTCTTCATTCTCTGGCCGGTGTCCAGTTTCTCAGTGTATGTGGGCAGACGAGAGGAGCGAGCTGAAGAGAGTAATGCGTTTGTGTGCCACAGTAATGATGAAACATTACAGCTGCCTCCGACTCGAGTCTGGCACGAGCAGGATTTATGGTTATTAAAGGAGTCTGTGGCGGGACCAGCTCTGTTTCCGTGTCTGGATCTGTGAAATCTGTGCTGAAATAATACAGTACACACATTCTCCTCCTCATATCAGTCTCAGGGTATATTTAGAGCAAAACCTAATACATATTTTTGATTACATTTAGACACAAAGATGCACAATAACTTGATTTTGCGAGTAGCACCTGTCTTTATAGCAGAGTAAATGCATCCTAACTCCAGAAGACACATACACTAATAGTCTTTTTGTGTCTGCAGTGGTTTTTACAGTTGACTGCATCTGAAGATAGATAGCTGCAGATGCTCCTGTGACCTCCAGTCTTCATCTCAGCAGGCGACATCTCCACCAGCTTGCTGTTTCTTTGACAGCCCTGATCTGAAGCAATTATTCTTCATTTACTTCAATAGGAGTATTTGCTTTTGAGAATCAGTCACTGACTATTTCTGAATGTTTTGGTGAAAATATAACTCTGGCTTTGAGGTGGTTGAGATGAAAGGGTTATTGTGTGA